GGGCAGTGTCACGGCACTGACAGGCAAGGAAAGTCCAGAGTGAGGAATTAACTCACTTATTGTCAAAAGTACACTTACAAATTAGGAAAATGCACCTCTATCAGTCCTGCAGTTCTCAGCTCCTTCTAGGTGTGCAACTGGTGAGGTATTTGCAGCAACAGGGAGGCCCCGCCCCCAACCTCAGTTTACGTATCTTCCCCACCTGAGCTGCATGCAAGCAGGTGAAGACTATGCTTGCATGCACACAGTTCTCAAAAATTAAATCTTTGATGTGCTGTTAATCCCCTGCCATGCTGGATAGTACACAGTAAAATCTGTTTGACTGCAATGTAGCAGCTGATCTGTAACCATCACAACAGATTGATTATTGAGGTCTCGTTTAAAGGCGGGTCTACCTAATTTGAACTTTCCATAATAATGCACAAATGGAAACACAACCACCCTTTGAAATTCACACTGCTCTGAATTTTGCAATGCAACTTTCCAGCCAAGCAGTGTGCACAAAAATGCATATATTAAGGCAAAGTGTGCATTACAAGGCATATATTAGGGCCCTCCCATACTTCTGTTTGTCCTGGCACAGGTGTGAGTGGTTTTTCACTTGCACCGCTCCTTTCCCAGGAGAAAACTCGAATTGCCATTTGCTCTGATTGAGCACTTGAGAATGGTTTTTCCCTAAGGGAACGCAGAAGGGCAAGAGGAAGTATGAGCAAACCCTTAGGGATAATAATATACAAAATGCATTATTTTAGATGGAATCGCATTGCACCAGGCAGTGGCCATTCGGGATTAAATTGCATTGCAAAATTCATTTATTAGGCAGAATTGCATACACATGTGTACCCAAGGAGAAATTCACACCAAAATGCTGATAGGATTTCATGAAGACTAAAAAAAACAAAATCCCTGATGTGGAAATTAGAACTTCAGGTTGAAAAAAAAATGAGAAACAGAGAGGAACTGAAATGGATGCATTTGTCCCTCCCTAGCTGGACCTGACATGAAATGGGGCAAGACCATGGGGGACGTTGCATTCTGAGCTCCTCTGAAGACCCTCTGGATTATTACCTTGAAGACTTCCAGGTTTAACAGTTTGGCTGGCAGCCAGCAATGAGCAGCATCAGCATGGTTCATTCACAAATTGGCAGGTCATTTGGGAGTACCACTGGCTGAAGGAAAGACAGAGGGCCCTGCGTCTAGCCTAACATTCCTGGATATGGTGTCTCCGAAAATTTTTACACATCACTTGGAAAGGCAGACGAACTAATGCCAGTGTACCGGAAGAAGCAAATATTCTTCAACATCAACTTTGTTGGACTGGTCATGTTGTGCGGATGCCTGATTATCGTCTTCCAAAGCAACTACTCTATTCCGAACTTAAAAATGGAAAGCGTAATGCAGGTGGTCAACAAAAGAGGTTTAAAGACTCTCTCAAGGCAAATCTAAAAAAAAATGTAATATAAACACTAACAACTGGGAAACACTGGCCTGCGAGTGCTCGAATCAGAGAACCGCCTTTACCAAAGGTGTCATGGGCTTTGAAGATGCTCAAACTTGGGAGAAACCTGCAAAGAGGAAGGCACACTTGGCAAACCCTCACCATGATCAACTCCTGCCCAGAAACCTATGTCTGCACTGTGGAAGGACGTGTGGATCCAGAATTGGCCTCCATAGTCACTTACGGACTCACCGTTAAAACCATGTTTATGGAAGACAATCTTACTTGGCTATGAGTGATTGTCAAAGAAGAAGACCAGGGATGGGGAACCTGTGGTCCTTGAGATGTTGCTGGGCTACAACTCCCGTCTTCCCTGACCATTGGCGATGCTGGTGGGGTGGATGAGAATTGGAGTCTAACAACATCTGGATGGCCACAGGTTCCCCATGCCTTCAGTAGATCAAAACAGCTGCCTCCCCATCCCCGGCCAACCATCAGACATTATGCTCTTTAACTGCAGATTGTAGACTGCCTAGAGGGACACAGGTGGCGCTGTGGGTTAAACCACAGAGCCTAGGGCTTGCCAATCAGAAGGTCGGCGGTTTGAATCCCCGCGACGGGGTGAGCTTCCATTGCTCGGTCCCTGCTCCTGCTAACCTAGCAGTTCAAAAGCACATCAAAGTGCAAGTAGATAAATAGGTACCGCTCTGGCAGCGGCCATGGGGGATTAAAATTTCTTTGAATTTCCCCTCATCCTGGTTGTGGTTCAGCTACTGATCTGACGAGTTCAAGAATGTGTCAGTTTGCTATTTCCAGCAGCCACCTAAAAGCTTAATCTAGACTCACAATTATGCCTGGATCAGGTCCTTGTCATCGTCAGGCCTACTCAAAAGTTCTCACACAAGGTGATGGCATTATTTCCATATGCCAATGTTTGCAGCCTTTGCACCGTTGAACGTTTCTGTCTGGGGGGAAAAGCCATAGAAATGGATACAGCTTCACAAAACTGTCTGGCTGCAGTGTGGTGCAGAGGTTTCGTTTTACACAGTCTCAAGGGAAAATGAGTCTGCAAATTAACTCCTATTTTGCACACGAAATAAGATTTGCATTAGAAAGAACGTGAATTTCTGGATTTTCTTCTACTTAAAAAAGAAGAAGTAAGGATTCCCCTTCTAGGTCCCTTCTAGAACTTCTTCTATATGTGTAGGTACTAAAGAAATAGGCCCACTCTTTTTATTTTGTTTATTGTTTTATTGCTTATTTGGCTTTTTTTTAGTATATGTCAATGTATACTTGATATGTTGTTTTGTTAAAAAATGATAAAGGTAGGATATCTGCTACCTAGTTACAGTTAGAATAAGTCCTTAATTTCCTATGGACAGCTGTCTCTCCTATCCTGCAGGAGAGAGAGGGAAAATGGCTTCGAAAGTAACCAGGAAGTGGAACTTCCAGGCTACTGAAATTGGAGTTCCATAGTGTTCCCTGTTTATTTCCAGGTCAGGTTAAAGAGAGTTTTACCATTTTGACTGCATCTATTAGCCTGAATCAACAAGTTTCTTGGCACATCAAACTAGTGTTGACATTAAGTATTCACAGCTGGTGCCACAAGCTTTAATCAGTTTCATTTGTGGATTAAATGTCTGGAATGAGACATTGGTAGAATCCAGTTTAATCGATGGGGCTGTGGGCAAAGAGTGACCTTGAAAGTTTTTTGAGTTTGCAGTAGCATCTGGTGTGTTACTGCAAAATCAAAGAGGGCTTTTCTTTCTAAGAATGAGTAGTGGCATTTTAAAAATTAAATTATAATGGAAAAACTCAAAGTGTGTGTACTCAGAAATGAGGTCCATGAGTTTAATAGGCCTTACTTCCAGGTGAATAAAGTTCTGTTGAACATGTTGGGAAATGCTTCTGACTAAAAATGTGTAGGGTTGGGTTGTGAGTTGTCTTACACCTCTTTCAACCTTTTAAATAGACTCCCATACTGAGGTTTTGGTAACATGGAAATTTATTTGAAAGGAAACTGAATAATTAACCAATTGACTAGTTAATGCTATGAGAGCTCAATTAATATGAAATATATCTACAGCTGCCGAATATATGATTGCGTGTGAGAGAGGGAACAGCAAAGTCTACATATCTCAGATTCTACTATCTCACAATCAAATACCCAATTCTACCAATTGTAGAATATTGTTGGATGTCAAGCATCTAAGCAAAACCAATGATTCTGGGAGAAAGCAGTAGAATCTTGGGGAACCAGCAAATTTATTCTGGCAGATGAACTTCTCTAGGCAAAGGACAAAGAGATCCTGGACACATCTTGGGGGGGGGACGTCTTGATGAGGGAGTCCAAGGATGTTAGGCGATACCTAGGCTCAGCTGGAACCTTCTAAGACTTACCCACAATTCCCTTTGAATTGTCCACCCCCAAAATCTGGACGACTTCTCAGCTGAACCTCCAAATCTGCTCATGAAGCATTTCATAGCATTTGATCACATAATTAAATGGCTGGAGACAAGAAGCAAAGGAAGTGGGAGGACTGGAGCAGGGAAGATAATCTACCTTCCCATCTTAAATTTCCTTTGTCTTCTTATTTTGTCTCAAGTAAACTTCCATTTCCTCAATTCAGCATTTTTCTTTTTGACCCATTTCTCTTCTTTTCTCCATTTCTGGCCGCCTAATTCTTTTTCTAGTGTCTTTCCTTTCCTTTCCTTTATTCTCTCTCTCTATCATCTAGCCTTCCTTCCTTCCTTCCTTCCTTCCTTCCTTCCTTCCTTCTTTTTTCTTTGTACATTATTACTTGGAGCTGCAGGGGGACATTATTCTCAATTCCCAGCTCCTCGCAGACCTAACCACAACTCTCCCTCCTCCCTGTTTTCATGAGAATCTCTCTCCTTTTAGGGACAACTCCAGATGAGTAATGATCCCAAAGGAATGTCCTGGGAGGGAGAGGAGCAGTCGGCGGTTCTTCTCCAGAGATGCTTGGAGAGGCGGGACGTGGAAGGGTTTCCCCTTGATTTATCATTGCCTGGAGGCTGAATGAAGTGCAGGGGAGGAGAAATGATCCTTTGAGCTGCTGGACATGGAGGAGTTAAGCAGTATGATCTAATAGGGAAGCTGATACCGCCCCCACCAAGATGTTCGGGGATAATTTACAGTTATATATATAAATGAAAGAAGCTGTGTGTTGTGTGTGTCAAAATGTGAGAGCCATAAGACATTTTTAAACTTCACTAAACCATAGGATGTTATTAAACATCTTAAACTATTTGCAAGAAAGCCAGACTTGGGAACGTTAGTGATTCACACCAGTTTTTGTACAATTTTTGTACAAATGTTCTGACGAACACATGGGAACTCCTGTTAGGACTGGGAGCTTCTGTCAATCAGCGCTTTAATTTATGTAACAACATCATCATCATCGTTATCAACAACAACAACAACTTTTTTATACCCCGCCCATCTGACTGGGCCTCCCCAGCCACTCTGGGCAGCTTACAGCAGATTATTAATAACACAATAAAAGATCAAAACAAAATTTAAAAAATTCTTTCCAGTAGCACCTTAGAGACCAACTAAGTTTGTTATTGGTATGAGCTTTCATGTGCATGCACACTTCTTCAGATACCTTCATGCATGCACATAAAAGCTCATACCATTAACAAACTTAGTTGGTCTCTAAGGTGCTACTGGAAGGAATGTTTTTTTATTTTGTTTCAACACGGCTACCTACATAAGTCTAGAACAATAAAAACACATTAAAAACTTCCCTGAACAGGGCTGCCTTCAGATATCTTCTAAAAGTCAGATAGTTGTTTATTTCCTTGACATCTGATGGGAGGGCGTTCCACAGGGTGGGTGCCACTACTGAAAAGGCCCTCTGCCTGGTTCCTTGTAACCTCGCTTCTCGCAGGAAGGGAACTGTCAGAAGGCCCTCGGAGCTGGACCTCAGTGTCCCGGCTGAACAATGGGGGTGGAGACCCTCCTTCAGGTATACTGGGCCGAGGCTGTTTAGGGCTTTAATGGTCAGCACCAACACTTTGAATTGTGCTCGGAAACGTACTGGGAGCCAATGTAGGTCTTTCAGGACCGGTGTTATGTGGTCTCGGCAGCCGCCCCCAATCACTAGTCTAGCTGCCGCATTCTGGATTAGTTGTAGTTTTTGGGCCACCTTCAAAGGTAACCCACATAGTGCACATTGCAGTAGTCCAAGCAGGTGATAACCAGAGCATGCACTACTCTGGCGAGACAATCTGCAGGCAGGTAGGGTCTCAGCCTGCATCCCAGATGGAGCTGGTAAACAGCTGCCCTGGACAGGGAATCTGCAGGGAATCCTACCCTAGGTTCCTAAAGCAGACTCTTGCAACCACTATAGTTTGCACTCCATCTTTAACTCACACCAGCTGAAAATGCTCAGTATCTCTCCCCGCCCCCAAAGTGAAACAGAGACATTGCCCCTGCCTTCCAGGCACACTGGCAGACTTGTGCCCAGGATAGGTCATTTCAGTGTTGCTAGCACAGTAGTTTGACTATACCCCTGGAGGAGCACTCCATTGTTTCTCGAGACAGACAACAAAATTTCTGATGCTCACAGCCTGATCCCGGCCTTCCCCTTCCCTGCTTTTCTGATATTCTTCCGAAAGAGGAGCAAAGAATGTGGAGCAGTAAGGAGGGTGTCTGCATTCTGCCCCAGCTCAGCATCTCAGCTGGGGTGAATCTTCCCTCAAAGTACTGCTGGGAAGTCAGCAGAAACATCTCCCTTAAGGGAATGGGTTCCACAGGACAGAGCACTATGTTTATGGATAAAATGTCTGCCATGGCACGTAATAGAATGGGGAATGTAAATACCATAAATATGCCTGCTAAGGCCTGGGCCTCCTGCATATTATTCATCTGTCATCAACCTGGTGCCCCCAACCCTGAAGTTTTTGGCCACAAGCCCCATCAGCCCTAGGCAGGACAATATGAACATCATCATATGCCTTTAGAGAATGTGATCTCCCTGCTGAAGATCCTGAAGGATTTTCACGAGGATTTGTAAAAAGAAAATTTGCAAATCGCTGCAGAAATGTGGAGATTGGGGAAAACGAAAAATGAGAGAAGCAAAACAGACAGCTCCTCCCTTTCCTGTTGGGAGACACCTCCTTCAAGTGAAGGGTTGAGGTTTCTTGCAAGAGAGATCTATCCACCTCCCCGCCGCCTGCCCAACCCCCTGAAAGGGGATGGAAGAGGAAGGGAAAACAGGATGGGAGAAAGAGAGGCCAAAAGTATGATTCACCCACTCTAGGCTCTGGTGCTGTCCAGAACCGGCTTCAGCCAGTGGCCCCTGGCAGAGTTCCTCCAGGGGAATGTGGCCCTCGACAAATAACAACAACTACACCTTTGTGCAAATTAATTGAAACAAACAATGAATTTAGTACAGTAGTTTATTGTACAAAACCCACATATACGTACATTAGTAATGGATATGACCTCTGCTATTTTTAAGCAGCATTTGAACACGGTTTGGCATGGAGTCTACTAGTTTCTAACAGTCACTGTTGATTTTCGGATCCCTCTACCACGCTTGAATCAGCGCCTGAATGAGCTTCTCCATAGTCGTGCAGTCTACAGCACGGAGGTGACTTTTGCACATAGCCCACAAATTCTCAATGGGATTTACGTCCAGGGAATTCCCTGGCCAAATCAAGTACGTGTAATTGCTTCTCTGGCATGAATTTTTTCACCACTTTCGATGTGTGACAGGGGGCTGAGTCCTGCTGCAATATTCCAGTACTGTCAGGATACCTCTTTTCCAGCTCTGGAATAACTCTCTTTCGTAGAACCTCAATATATTGTGGCGAGCGCATCATTCCTTCTATTGGTTGCAGGCTTCCGACACCATAATAACTGAAGCACCCCTAAAACATCTTCTTTTGTGGGCGCTTGACAGACGGATCAATGTGGCATAGAAAACATGCGTTGTTTCAATTAATTTGCACAGCAATGCATAAGCTTGCAGCATAAATGATTGCCTTTGAATGCTGAGTTTGAACCTTACGATTCCTAAAAGCAAACTGTGCTTCACGAATGAGAAGCAGATTTTTAAAAAAATGGGGGAAATGTAGTTCATGCCAGAAAAGCTAGGCATTTGGAGAGAGATGGGCACTCGCCTTCTAGATTGGCCTTCTTTCCCCGATTCTCGTGTGCTTCAGTGGGTTTTAAATCACATTCCTTTACCTTCCTAGACACATACTAGGAAGTTATTTATACCTGCCCCGACCATCTCACGTTCTCCACCCCAACCCTGACAGGCAGGGCTGGGCTGCTGCTTTTAATCTCTGTCTGACCTAAATAAACACCTATTTCCCTACATCAAGAGAGGAAGCGAGGCAGAAAGTTCCACCAGCTAAACGCTTCAGCTCCAGTAGTGGAAAATGGCATGTATTGTCTTGTTCTTTCGAGAGGTGTCCAAAGCAAGGACTAAGCCCCGGGACGTGCTTTGAATGTGAGGGCGGTTCAGCCGTAACACAGAAAACAGTGCTGCTGAGCATATAAAGAGTACTTTCCTCTCATTTCCAATAATAAAGATTCCAAGCCGGAGTACTCAGCCTCCATTTATACCATGTATATTTAAATATACAAGGTGTGACCGGAAAGTTCGGTGAATGGTCACAGAAACCGGACAGCGAGAAATATTTGAACATACATGCCTTAGAGGCCTTCAACGTAAGCCTCCTCTGATACAATACACTGTTGACAATGTTCGTAGAACTGTTGGACACTTCTGGAGAAGTCCTCTTTTAGTACTGCTTTCAGTTCCCTCGTCACAGCAGCTTGGACGTGTGAAATGTTGGAAAATTTGTGCCTTTTCGGTGCAGATTTCAGTTTTGGAAAAAGAAAGAAATCCGGTGGGGCCAGTTCAGGAGAACATGGAGGGTGGGATAACTCAGTAACCTCAGTATCAATTTCACGCAGAATACGCAATTCTTCCGCCATCATTCGGACGGACAAACGCCGATCTCGCATCAATAACTCACGAATTCTGTTGACATTTGCTGCCGTTCTGCTCGCCGATAGTCTGCCAGACTGAGGGTCATCTCCGATGGTTTGCTGCCCTTCACGGAAATGCCTTAAACCACTCATACACTGTCTTTCAAGTTATAGCTTCATCTCCAGACACAATTGTGAGCATTTCACGGGTTTCCAATGCCAATTGTATGTTCAAATATTTCTCACTGTCCAATTTCTGTGACCATTCACGAAACTTTCTGGTCATACCTTGTATTAAAGCCTGCACCATCAGCTGCCACCAAAAACAATTATTATTCCATTTTGATCGTAGCCAAAAGGCCGAGAAGCAATGAATTATTATTCTGCACCAAGGTTTGTCCCAAAGACCCTAGACTGGGGTGCAGGGAACACAAAAGGATTTTTTAAAAAGTACCTCAAGGATCTTGACATTCCAGTTCTTATATTTCCCAAGACTCCTTGTCCACTAGATGCTCAAAATGAATGGCCAAAGTCAACCCGCCCACCCTTCCATGACATCAGAGCAGTTAAGCCAATGCCTGCCATGGGACCTGCCATAGAACCAATATGTTCTCAGAGCTGATCAGATAGATAGCTCAGCTGGTTAGAGCATGGTGCTGATAACACTGAGGTCACAGGTTCGATTCCCCATACATATTCCTGCCTTGCAGAGGGTTGGACTAGATGACCCTAAGGGTCCCTTCCAATTCTACAAGTCTATGTGTATGTATACATAATGGTACCAAGAGGATTGGATGGGGGGAAGACTCAGAGATAACAAGGAGGGCAGTGCCAGGCTGTCAGGAGAGAGATTGGGGGTGACTGCAGCCAATGGGCATGGCTGTGTGTGTGTGCGCACACGCATGTTCACACGCGCCTTGCTAATAATAAGAAAATGGCAGCCAAGCAATCCCCATTATGTGCCAAAGAAAGCTGAATTATGTGTCCTTTATAAAGCATGCAACCAAGCAAATGTGAGGGAGCTCTCTTATCTTCTTTTGCATGGTTTATTTTGCAAAGCCTTCCTTTTAGGAATTCTAGGAGCCGAAATTCAAAGGGAGCAGAACATACTATTTATATATGCGACCACAGCTGCGCGGATGTTATTGGCCCAGAGATGGAAAGAAGATAAAGTCCCGGCCAGAGAAGAATGGCAGATCAGGTTGACGGATTGAGCTGAAAGGGCTAAAATGACCAAAAGATTCAGAAATCAGGAAGACCAAAATTTTAATAAGGAATGGGGAAAATTTATAATTTATCTTAAAAACCACTGTAAGCAGTTAAAATCATTAGTAGGATTGGAATAACACTTGTAGTTTAACGGTGAATTTTGGACACACTGGAGAGGTAAAAGATTTGGATTATTATAAAAGATGCAGGAGGAAATGATTAACAATAGGACCCACAAAAGGAAGTCCAGGAAATTCTTTGGAATCTTGTTTTAATGATGTATGTTGGATTTGTGATTGTAATACTTTAATTTGAAAAACCAAATAAATAAATTTATTTTGCAATGTGCATATTTTATTCCAGGGGGCAATAAGCTATGCAGAGCAAACCTTGCACCTCCTGTCAAGCCAAAAGGTAAACTGGACTGCTTCGAGTGTGCAAACCGAATCTCAGAAAAAAACAAAACAAGACCAACTTGGAGGGTTTCTATTCAAAGCAGCCTGATTTAACCACTGACCCACCTTCTCAGCTGTCCTCGTGTTTCCCCTCACCTCCACCAAGACCTTTGGCTGCTTTTCAGCCATAGCCTGCCACATCTCCAGTCCTTGACAAAGATGGCAGCTCACTGCTTCCTGGCTTGTCCCACCTTTCCAAGGAGGCTATAATAATAGTAATATAATGATAACTTGTTATTTATACCCTGCCCACCTTGCTAGGTTTCCCCAGGCACTCTGGGCAGTTCCCAACAGAATATTAAAAATGCGATTAAACACCAAACATTAAACACTTCCCTAAACAGGGCTGCCTTCAGATGTCTTCTACAAGTCAGATAGTTGTTTATTTCCTTGACATCTGATGGGAGGGCATTCCACAGGGCTGGTGCTCAAACCAAGAAAGCCCTCTGCCTGGTTCCCTGTAACCTCACTTGTCACAGTGAGGGAACCGCCAGAAGGCCCTCGGAGCTGCACCTCAGTGTCCCGGCTGAATGATGGGGGTGGAGACGCTCCTTCAGGTATACAGGGCCAAGGTCATTTAGGGCTTTAAAGGTCAGCACCAACACTTTGAATTGTGCTCGGAAACGTACTGGGAGCCAATGTAGGTCTTTCAGGACCGGTGTTATATGGTCTTGGCGGCCGCTCCCAGTCACTAGTCTAGATGCCGCATTCTGGATTAGTTATAGTTTCTGGGTCACCTTCAAAGGTAGCCCCACATAGAGCGCATTGCAGTAGTCCAAGTGGGAGAAAAGTAGAGCATGCACCACTCTGGTGAGAGAGTCCATGGGCAGGTAGGGTCTCAGCCTGTGTACCAGATGGAGCTGGTAGACAGCTGCCCTGGACAGGGAATCTGCAGAGAATCCTGCCCTAGGTTCCTAAAGCAGACTCTTGCAACCACTATAGTTTGCACTACCAGATGGAGCTCTGAAATCTCTTAAGCTGGCCGCAAAAGCATGCATGGGAGTTGGAGAAGGAAGAGGGAGGATAAGTCTGTGGGTTGGTCGAGTTGTGTTGGGAGAGAGTGAGAGAAACTGAAAGGAGGAGTCAGATAGACAGTTGGGATAATCAGTTAGCAGTTATTAGGAAAGGTATAGGCCGGTATAGAAACTAAGATTAAGAAACTGACAAGAAAAATTATCTGAAACTTGTTCAGGCTTATAAAATAAACTTGCTTATTTGATTTAATGTTAACAACTGTCTGGACTCTGTACCCGAGAGAAACAGGTTGGTGGCAGCAGGGAAGCAATCACAGTGGTGGCACAGGGATCAATAGACCGTCAAATGTCCGGGGACCCTGTGTGATATATATACTGTCACCAAGCACCTGCCTCACAAAGACCCATCTCCGCTGTATGTGTCAGGACATTCTCCCATAACCTGTGCTGGCAACCTGGGACAGTTTCACACTGTTTTCAAATGGCTGTGTCACAATTCTCTCCAGGGAGGACAGGGCCAAATTCAACCCGAGCTGGAGCACCAAGAGACTGCCTGGTGGAAGACTTCCATCCTCCAGCATGCTGTCATCTCCCTCCCCCCCAGGTTGGAGCTCCCTCCCTTCCCCTCCTCTCTTTGCCACGGTTGCCGACGTGGATAGCCGTCTCCCCGGCACAGATGCCGATCCGGAGGCCTGAGGACGTGTCTGCTCCTCCCAGCTGGAAGCTCCACCAAACCCACTTTTGGTGTGGGAGCCAGTAAGTAGCATCAGCTGATCTGCGAAGGAGGTGGAGGTGGTGGGGGGAGGACTTGGAGGAAAGCGGCCAAGATGAAAGAAAGCCTTCTCATTGGGGGCAGGGAAGGGATTGCAACGAGAGAGGGAGGAGACCGAAAGAATGGGGGCAGTGAGGAGAAAGAAAGGAAGGGAGGGAGGGGGGAAAGGGGGGGGAGAAACCAATCTGGGCACAGGAGCCGGCAGAAATTCCTCATGGCTTGGGTTTCCTTTTTTCAGCAGCAGCAGCAGCAGCAGCAGCAATGCATCTGCTTTCAATTACAGGATGTGCTCAGGATTTGCTGTACCGTGCGACACCGGTCGACAAAGGATCTTGGACAGATGGATCAGTGCCCTTCTCCCTCAGCCCTCTTCTTCCAAGTCCACTTTGCCCACCAATGGACCCTCACCCCTGCAACCCTCACACACAATTGGCAACGTGGATTTATCTCAGTCCTCAGGAAGAAGAGTCTCCTCTTTGCATAGCTGTCAACTTTTCCCTTTTCTTGCGAGGAATCCTATTTGGAATAAGGGAATTTCCCTTTAAAAAAGGGAAAACATTGACAGCTATGCTTCTTTGCCCCCCTAAGACAACTCATCCCTCAGCCGAACTATTCTTCCAAGGAAGTTTTCCCCAGCATAACCTAGAGCTGAGGTGAAACATTTCAGAGTGACAACTATTCTTCGGAGGAAATGTATATTTTCTTTGTTTTACCTCTCCCTCTCACCCCACCCACTCCTATCCAAGGGGGGAAGGGCCACTGTGCAGAATTTTCTCCAGATTCTTTGGGGGGAGGCACGTCTCATACACACAAGGCCCTGATGCGATGCTAGATTTGAGACAAAATGGCTGCCGGGCTGCCAGTACAGTGGCTCAGAGGTTGGGACAGAGCTGCTGCTCTAGCTTCCTAGCAGCTGGGTTGTTCGTTCTCACCAGGAGGGAGAGGGGCAGGGTGGTGGGGCACTTGGCAAAGCGCCAATGTTTGCCCACGACATCGACCTCCCTGCTGCCTCGGCCTTTCCCCTTCTGGTAAGCAACTGTGAGCTCCACCCCCCGCCCGGGAAGTGAGCTTTGGCAAGTGGCTACTGGTGCCCCCAAAAAAATATTTCTGGGGGAAAGGGAAGCATTGTGCTCCTACCACTGCTAATGATGAGCCCCACCCCAGAGAAACCATTGGGAGAATTTATCTTTCGGCTGTAGAGATTTAGTGAGCTGGTTTTCTCCAGCAGCTCTGCAATTTCTCTCTCCATAAATTAGGTGGAGAACTTCCAGAGGCCCTTGGGCACAGCTGCAGCATCAACAGTGCTGAGCTTAGGACCGCCCTACATCGGCACTTCGAGGTCTCTGTGTGGCATGACTCGGGGTCCTCTCTGGCAGCCTGAGGAATCGTTTGGGGGTGACACGTTGCAACAAGTTAGGGTTGATTTCTGGAGCGCAAGCTGCAAAGAGCGAAAGTCTTCATGTGCTATTGCGCTGCATTGTGGGAACTGTAGTTCCTTGCTCCCTCTGGGCAGACTGTGGCCAGCAGTGCAGGGAGAATCCTCCATACCCCACATCCCTAAGGAATGGAAGATTATCATTTCCCATGCACTCTGTCAGCACCTCACAGACCCGATAATCACCACCCCTAACCCAAAAGTGTGGTATGTTGGAGGCGGGAGACCTGATAACACTGATCAGAGCTACAGTTCTTAGAGCCTGAATCTGAGAAGTGGAGAGAACCCAAATCTGCCGGGAGAGATTACTGCAGTGACCCAGGTAGCTAATGCAGAGAAGAGGAGCGATATGATATTAATAAAGGGGAAAGCAAGACAATGTTCTCCTCTCCCCGACACCCATTGGATCTTTAGTTATGCAGATGAAGGAGGGGAAGGAAGCGCCATCACCTTTCCCCAAAACAAAGGGTAGTCCGGTAAAGGATTCCGGGGGGGGGGGTGGCCTTGTCCTAAGCCTATGGAGGTGTGGGCCCATGGCACACCCCCGAGCGGTAACTGGGGAGAGCTCCTAGTTGACGTGCCTCAGCAGGACTCCCCCTACTGGTGGTTAACCCTCACCGGTCTTCCAGCCAGCGGGCTGAAGCCGGTTAATTGTTAGGACCAATGCCTAAGCCAATACCGCTCAATTCCTGTAATCAATAAAGTTGTGGCCTAATTTGACCCATTAACTTGAATTCTTGTGTCTTGTGTCTTTATTTCTGAGGGGGGAGGCGGGAACTCGCCACGCAATGTTCTCCTCTCCCAGACACCCAAACACCCAGCTGCAAGGGGAGAGCTTAGAAAAGAAAA